CACTCTATAATAAATATAAAATCATTATTGATAAGGGCACTTTAAAAAAAAAACAATGATTACATCTCAAAAGACTAAAAATAGCTTATATTTTAAACATTCAATTTTTTAAAAAATATTTTATATTTTTTAATAGAAGAAGTATATTTGCTTATATTTATAGGACCAGTTTCTTTCACTTTCGGATTTTTCAGCTTTTGTGGTCTTTAACATGCCACCACGTTTCTCTCCTCTTGTCATTCACAGCTCATTTTTTTCTCATTCCTCATGTTCTAATTATCATTCAATGAATGTCGTTGAACGAAAACGACACTGATTCAACTTCATTTCGGGTATTCACAACCATCCATCATCCAATTTTATCAATTAATTTAGATTAGAGCATCGACGACGGACTCAATATGTGCGACTCAGAGTTTATTTTTTTGAATGTTGTATGTGTATTTTTAAATTTCAATCTCCACTATATGTTTATGTATGTTCTCTAGCTAGATTCATACAATTTTAATGAAATTTATTACATAAAATCAACAAAAGGTTTGGCGTAATTTATTAGAAAAAAAATGTAATGTATAGCTAGAAGGAAAAATTTAGGGCGATGAAGAACCTTAAAATAGAGGGAAAATGAAAGAAAAATATACCTAAAATATACAAATGATAAAGAAGTTCCACTATAATGTGACAATCCTTGTCAAGTCAAGATTTTTTTGACATTAACGTCTGTTATAAAATGAATATAATGATTATCTCAATTTAAAATATCAATGATTATTGTAATTTAAGTAATAATTATTTTTTCTTTTAATAATAACTAAAACCAAATAACAAATGACAAGTTTTGCTTTGAAAATTTTTTAATCACTGAACTCCAAGTATTTTAAATATTAGTGACTAATTAGGTTCAACTAATGATTACTTCCTTCTAGTAATAACCAAAATAGTATAAGTAATTATAACTTTTTCTTTGCAAAATTTTTAATCATTGAAATATAAGTGTTGTAAATATTAATGACTATTTGAGTTTAAATAATGACTACTTTTCTTCTAGCAATAACTAAAACAAGATATTAACATAAATGACAAGTTTTGCCTTGCAAATTTTTTAATCATTGTTCCATTTCTTTTTTATTTTAAATTGGGTGAGCATTATAATAATTTTGCAAAAAGCATTAATGTTAGAAATGTTTCAAAGGACTTGAGAAGAATTATCATATTTTGTAAGATTGTATTATTGTTTTCATATTTCAAAGGATTTTTTTTGTCATTTTTCCTAAAATATATGTACAATTTTTTCTAAAATAATGTCACAATGTGTTAAGATATTTTTTATTATTATTCATAGATATCATTTTATTTGAGATAATCATATTCAAAGTATGGTCGAAAACAAAATGCAGACACCTCTCTCAACATAGATTCAGATTTTAATTCATCATGTTATAATGGACCAGCCATTTTTATGAGAATCAATTCTATTACCAATATGTTAAGATGTTTTAAGTAGTTTTTCAAAGCCGAGTCTCTATCAGCATGCATGTGATGGGAAGTTGTCCGCATAGAGCTTTTGAGTTTCGTAATGAAATTTGATTATTTGGTCTGTTCGCAGTTATTTTAATGTTGTAGCTATCATCTTAGGACCACCTGCCCATTTCACTCATTCACTTGTTTTCAAAAGATGAAGAATATTAGTATTGAATTAAACTATATACTTGCAAACAACTGGTTGGTTTTAATTCAGTAACGATAATAACTAGCATAAGTTAATTAATTGATTTTTTTAATAATTTGTAACCGTTTATTCGCAGTTATTTCTTGAACTTCTCTTTCATACAGACATGAGTCATATTTTAATTGACTGCTTCTTATTTGACTCCAATGATTATTTCAAACTTCAATTTCCTTAAATATATGGAGTATATATAGAAATACACACACACACACAGAGGCAAAAAAATGAGGAATTGTTATAAAACTTATTAGCATACTTCTTTTTATTTGGCAATTTTAACTACATAAATGATGACTGCTAGAGATTTCAGTTAACTCCGATCCTCATAAGTACGAGCACCTGAAAATTATACATGAGCCATCTGATATGATTACCATATTTATTATTTTTTCTTGACCTTCACTTTAATTATGAGTTGCTAATTTCTTTTCAATCTTTTCTCATCCGTAAAAATTTAGGATGTTGTGTGACATTATACTTTTAAGTTTTAACTGTATAGGGGCAGAATGTTTTGACAACAACGTTATGCAAAACAAGTCATCATTGTTAATACAATATCTAAAAATCAAATATAGTATTTAAAACACCAAGTAGCCTCCAGATAATATTAGTGGAGCAACATTCAACAGCCCAAGTTAGCGCTAGTTGGAAAAAAAGAAGAAGAAGAAGAAAGAAACAAGTGAGAACTAGGCTTCCACGGATGGATTTTAGACTGATCTTAGCCCAATATAACATTATGGCCCAAAAACCATCTAGTCATACTTGGGTTTGTCAGCCCAAGTGGTAGAGGTTGAAAGGCCCACGAAACTTTAGTACCAACTACCATTAACTTCAGCATCAGCGTTTAACAACTTGGAAGAAAGTCTGCCCCTTAAACGTCATTTCAAAATTCAATTATTAGATATGTGTGTGAAAAAAACATCATTTGATAGAAGAGAACTATTTGAATGCTGCTTATCGAGAAATTAATTTTATGGCTGCTGGTTAAAAATACCTTGGCCAAATAAAAAAAATCGGAAAAACAATTTATTTTATATCGATGTATACCTATTTTATATCTAAATTTGTAAATCATCTTCATGTGGTTGGAAAGAATTATCTACAAATTAAGCTAAAACTTTTATGTTTAAATTTAGAAAATTTAGGTTTTATATAAAATATTTATTATTAAAAAATTTTATAAAATTTACAAAATACTTTCAAATTTTAAATTGTGCACATTTAAATTTTGACTAAGGACATTCACAAATGAGTAATGACTATTTATAATTTATAAAAAAAATGACAACTTATAATAACAAGTTATTAATGATTATTATTTAATTATTAATGTTCTTGATCAAATTATAAATATATAAAATTTAAAATTTAAAAATATTTTATAAATTTTATGATACTTCTTAATAATAATTTTTTTAATATAAGAATTGATGTAATGTTTTCTTAAATTTATATCTAAAACTAAAATAACGCCTTTTTGTTTCTCGAAAAACACAAAATAACATGCAGGTACAAACACACGCCTCAGTTTTTGCCTTTATGGTTTGGAAATGTTTTATGGTTTTAACAAATATTTTTGAAAAAATAACAATAATTTTTTTAAATTATATGAATGATAATTTAATTTTTTAAAATATCATAATTTTATTAAAATTTATAGAAATTTTTATGTCAATAAATTTTAAAATCCTCAATTAATAAGTTATGATTTTTTATTTAATTCTTGTAATTCTTTAAATACAAATTGTTAATTCTTAAACAAAAGTTATAATTGAGATTTGTTATTTTAAGAACTTATTTTTTAGTAATAAAAATTATAATTAATAAGTTGTAATGTTTTGTTTAATTTTTGTATTCACAAAACAAAATGTGTTATTCTTTAAATAAAAATTATGATCGAGTTATGTTTTTTAATAATAAAAATTACACTTGATAAATTATAATTTTTTATTTAATTTTTGTGATTTACAAAACAATAATTATTATTCCTTAATTAAAAATTATAATTGAGCCTTGTTATTTTCAATATGAATAAAATAATTTTTTTTATTTTAAAATTTTTTAACATAATAGTCTTTAAATATTTTAAAAAAATAATAACATTTTGAGAGATTAATTATCATTTATATAATTTAAAAGAATTTTATTATCATTTTCTCAGCATTTTTCTTGCCTTTCCTCTATTATCTTTCATTTTCCTTCTCCACTGTCTCTATTTTTAACCCCTCTGATATTCTTTGCCACTGTTCTTGGTTCCAAATTTACCGCACTGGAACATATTTCTTCATTGCCCGGTCTCTAAGGCAATATGATTTGGTGCTCTTAATATTAGATCTTGTGATGTTCAGGCTCTCGGGATCAGAATGTGGATTCCTCAAATTTTTCCACAGCTTTTAAAGGATCAGAAACTGGATGTCATAAGAGATATTATTCTCCTAATCAATTTTCTATGGCGACAGCGAAATCATTGTTCTTACAAGGATGCTAAAATTAATCCCATGCAAATGATTCGAGAGTTTCAAGGAGAATTAGCCTATCAGAGGACTATCAGACATTTAGATGATATTGATCTCCCAACAGATGCTACTTCTGGAGTTCAATTAGATAATCCTAATATGGAAGAAATCCTTGCTCAAGGATGGTCGATCTGTTATACTAAGAAGAAACTCAAAGCATTGGATTATTTTAATAAGGCTTTTCGGAGAGCTTTTGCAAGTGTTTGGAAGAAACTCAACACCGGATCAAAGTGGCAATACTAACCTTCTCCTAGTTTTGAGAACTGGCCTTTCATGGATTCGACTGTACTCAGAGGACTGGAACTTGAGGCAGCTTCCCATCAGTATCATAGGTTACCAAAAAAATTCTCTTAGAACACAGGGATCATTGAATGAAAGAGAAGGATTAGATGTGTTGCAGAGAGATTTTCACGGCCTTCTGGAATGCTTTCCTGCTCGTTATTTCTTTGCTTGCGAATCTGAATATTTCTTTTGGTTTTCTTCGTCGCCAGGGGTAATGTAATTTGTTTTGTTTTTTAGGTGTAGATGGACTCTTTTTACTTAATTTTTAATATATATAATTTTGACTTGACTTCAAAAAAAAAAAAAAAATTGCCGCACTGGAAAAATTGATTAGAGAGAGAAAACGAGGGAGGGGTAGAAAAGGTAATTCAGGATTTGCGCCGCCTTGTCGGAGATCCCAATGATTTTTTCTTTTTTTCATATTAAAAAAAAAAAAAATTGGCAAACGCCATCGTCTCAGAATAAAAGAAAAACAAGCGCGTCGATCAGGAAAAACCCTAAATCTCTAGTATCACTGCTTCTACACCCAAGCTTCCCAGTGCTTGCTTCTGCGTCCGTCTGCGAGGGGGCTTTCTAGCCCTCTCTCTGCATCTCCATCTCCCTCTCCCTTTCGATACTCCCATTTTCTACATGTTCGCTCTTCAGTGTCTTTCAGGTAAGCTTCTTTTGCTCCCTAATTTTTTCTACTTGCAGGTGTGCCATTTTCTTTTTATTTGGCTTCAATTTCTTGATTGTTTAGGTTTCTGAGAGAAGTGACTCCCGGATTGGATTCGAATTTTGAGTCATTTTGCCATTTCTGGGCTTTGGTTAGCAAAATTGACTATTTCTGAGTATGCTTGGATCTGTTTTACGAATGGGACTCCCTGCGTCGAAGGGGTCAGTGGGGCTATTTATTTTATTAAAATGGGAAACGGAGTCTTTTCCCCTCCCTTTTTAATCGATATCCATTTTTTTTTTCCGCACAGATGATTTAGTGGATCGGATGTATGTTTCTGGGCTTCTGAAGTTTTTAATTTTATCATAGTTTATTTACGTAGGAAGTTTTCAGTTTGTTTGGTTGTTTGTTTTCCGCCTTTGATACCATTTTCGCTAGTTGTAGTGAGACTGACCTGCAGATGTTTTTTGCGTGTAGGGGTTCCATCTGTCCTCTTTCAGTTTGATCAATATATGGATTTGGGCAATCTAATTGAGCTGTGATCCCATAAAATAGCACTGCTTGCTGGTTGCTGTTGCCTGAAACTGATTGAAGCCCTTTGGTGTTTGACAACTTTGAAGAATAGGCGGTGCCCTCCAGCATCGTTGTTTAGTTCATCACTATGATTGCCACGGAAACTATAGTTCCAAATAGGAAACTGAAGATCAAGTTCTCCACCAAAAGGATAGAAGTTAATACTGGGACAAAATGTGAACTTGACCAGAAAGTGGACCAGATTGATGACACTGGGCCCTATAACTTAAAGGAAAAGTCCTCACTACCAGGTTCAAACAAGCGAGGGCCACCAGGGAGTTATGAGGGACAAAAGGAGAAGAGACAGAAGATGGACCGGAGAGCTTCTCTAGAGTGTGCTAGTATTCTGAAGAGTCTAACATCTCATCCCTATAGCTGGGTTTTCAGTAAGCCAGTGGATCCTGTGGCTCTGAACATTCCAGATTATTTTTCAATTATATCTGAACCCATGGATTTAGGCACAATCAAAAGCAATCTGGAGAAAAATGTATACTCTGGTGCTGAGGAGTTTGCAGCTGATGTTAGACTCACCTTTTCAAATGCAATGAGATATAATCCCCCTAGTAATGATGTTCATCTAATGGCAAAGGAACTCAACAAGTCCTTTGAGAAAAGATGGAAAGACTCGGATAAAAAATGGAAGTGTGGCGATGATGATGGAAAATGTATGTCTGGAACAACTATGGAAAGCATGAGAAAAAGTGGTACTCTGGTGCCTCCTATGCGAAAAGTCAAAAGTCTTCAGAGGAGTGATTCATTGACTGATAGAGATGATAAAGTAACTGTTGCTTTCTTCAAGCTTAAAATATTGAATATGCAAGAATTCAAGGATTTGCATGGATGGATTGAATAAAATCTATACTTTCTACTAAGTCTGTTCTGTCTGGTTAATTTGTAGTCACATGCATCTTTTGTTTGCTATATGTTTGTTGAGTTGTATTTTTCTAAATAACTCTAATTGCCTTTCTTGCAGGTGGAGGTTTCTAAGTCATCACATATTCCCCTCAAATTGATACTGAAAAACTTACACAAAGGTATAAAGCAAAAGAGTGAAGTGTGAGTATGTGATTCTGTGTGGGACCTGATAGGTTTGCGTTTTACAGGAAGCAAAGATAACAGTGATGGGGGACGTCCTTCTGTCTCTGTAAAGCCTTGTCCTTCATCAAGTCCTGTCTCACACAAGGTTAATATTTCTGATGACAGTGGATGCCGTGCTGTCATTTCTAGTGACTCATCATGTGTGATATCAGGTAGTTGATGATCTTGTGTCAGCTTCTCTTTGGTTATGCCATTTTGTAGCCAATTGGATTTTATATGTTAACTTTGGTTCACTTAAATCTGAAGGATCTGAAGGAAGGGATGCGTGTGGTGCTGAAGCACTGGAACTGGTATGGATATTGAAATTAATGTATTATGTACAACTTAGCTGCGGCTTTTAGAAATCTGTTCTGCATTTAAATCTAAGAATGTATCAAATTCCAGAATTGCTTGGCAAAAGGTACATCATTGCAGGGGAAATCTGATCCTGACTTTGATGGTGAGAAGATTTTATGATTTATGATATGTCATGTTCCAGTAGGTGTTACTATCTTATTAAATATGCATGATGTTGACATTATGTAAAGGCGCTGTAAGTGCTCTGGATAGTGATTGTCTGTATCCTAGCTCTCCGCGCACAGATTCTGCTATGGATGCTTCCTCTGGAGAAGGTCAGCTTTTCTAACTTTGATGTTTTGATGAGTTGTTTCTTTTGCTTTGTAGATTTTATGGTACTAATTGGTACTTGTTACTGCCTCTTATACTCCAGTATTAAGCGATCCCAATATTGATGTACAACTGTCACCCAAAAAGGCCCTTCGAGCTGCAATTCTGAAGTGCCGTTTTGCAGATACTATCCTGAAAGCACAACAAAAGACTCTTCTGGATCATGTAAGGCTTCTGTTGAGGGTATTTAAAAATCTTGCTTTGATTTTAGGGTGGTTTTGCATTTTATGTTAACCTAACACCTTCTCCTTGCTTGTTTAGGGAGACAAAGCCGATCATGTGAAATTGCAGCAGGAAAAGGAGAAATTGGAAAGAGTGCAACGCGAAGGTGAATATAATATGCCATGGCTTGTGTGGCTTGAGTGAATCCAAGTTATACTTGTAACTTCATATTGGGGTATTTTTAATGGCTAATGATTGGGTTGTTGTGCGTCACTCTTGGTGCGGTCATATGTCACCTGTGTTTGTAACTTTTATCAATTAAAAATAAAAATGCAAACTAGAATGCCCATTCAAGTTCAACTTACCAATTAGTCTAAGCCTCCCTAGTAGACTGATATGCATGCAGAGTTGTCAAAGTGACGTTAGCTGCGGTGTCATCCCTTGCAAATAACTGTGGAGGGGTGTATTTTTTTTGGGCTGGCTTCATTTGCCTTGGATTAGTTGTCTTAATTGGAGATTTGTTCAAGTGGCATTTCTTGCTTGAGTGATGGAAAATGTTACACCATTCATAAATTGCTGCACTTTACGTAACAGAGAGGGCTAGGATTGAAGCCCAAATCAAAGCTGCTGAATCTGCGGCAAAGATGAGGGCTGAGGAAGAGTTGAAGCAACAGAGAGAGAGAGAAAGAGAAGCTGCTCGAATGGCAATTCAAAAGGTTTTGACCTCGCACTTCTACATTTTTGTGAAATTTTTCCGATCATGTAACTCGAAACACAATCTCACTCAGATGCCCTCTTATTTAGGTGGAGAGAACTGTTGATATAGAGCATAACTTGGAGATTCTGAAAGAGCTTGAAATGCTTAGTGGGTGTACCTTGTATGGCTCTGGAGTTGCAATGAAGAAACTGGAACGATCGCAACTTCAATATCCACTGGAGCGGCTCGGGTTGTTTATAAAGGATGAGTTCAAGGCAGAAGATGATGATGAGGTTGTGATTGGAAATTGGGAATAAGGGCAAATTTTATCTTGATACAAATCTTGCACTGTTCTTCCTGCTCTTTGTTAATACCTTTTTGACAGGGGAACTGAAACTAATTTGTACATAAAATTTTCTACCTCAACACTGAAACTTGTTACTTCACAGCTAGTTAGGTACAAAGGAAAAAAGAAACAACAGTTCGTATTTTGTCGTAGCACTATGCATTTAATCCAGCTGGAAATTGATATTTTCTGTAGAAAGATGCTTATTGTCAATCATATATTGAGATCTACAAAGTTGATTACAATTTAAAGAAGTTTTAGACTGCCTATGAATATATGATGGCTACTGCTTATTTTGAAGGACAAGAAACAGTGGCAAAACCGGGCAAATGATATTTATTCAGATTAGATGGGGACTTTGGGGTCTCCAGAATTCATCCACAGTACCCCCTCCGTTAGCAGGCCCTACACCAAAACCAAAACCAAAACTGCAGTATCCGACAGTCTTTTATACAGCCAGTCCTCCGGGAAGTATTCCTATATTCCTTTCCCCAACAAGCCGAAAAAAACACGGGAGAGAACTAAGAAAAAAAGCTCGAGGATGGTGGAGGCATATCCAAACCTTGCCAAGGGAAAAGGCGTAGTTTTCATATGGTGTATCTACTTTTAGCAGCTCTGTCATGCTTCTTAGCATCCTCCTGGAGAAATAGCAAACAATAAATCAGAAACTAACCTGGTAAGGGCCTGACTTCTGATAAAACGTAGAATAAGAGTTCTTACATGGAAGATGAAGCCAATGTGTTCGTTGTAATCAAGAAATTCCTTCCACTGTTTTCCAATGCTCATCTGCAATGAGAAATTTAGACATTCATCAACTGGCATAAGAATCGACACATTACACTCGACATACGCAGAAACGTAGACCCAGGAAATAGAATATCATGGGAATTTTCTTTCAGCTACAGCATACTATGTTTACCCACCCCTTGGGGCCATAACAAATCACAGGCTAGCCAATTGTAGGAGAATAGTATACATAATACTCCGGAGTCACAGTATAAATTATGATTTCTCCCTCTAAGATAACACAAACCTCCCTTGTAGGAGGGAAAGAAGTGCCATCTACTCTTGAATTTACTACCGTGCGACCCAGCTATATTGCTCAATCCTTCATCTATTGGCTTATTAGGCTTCAACTCAGGCTTAGACACAATTTCTCAATCTTTTTTCCCCAACTGACTCAACTTTCACAATATAAATCAAGTTTAAGTCTAAGTACTTTCTCTAAGCAATTAATGAAGAAAACATCATACAACCAGAACCCGACGTTCTTTAAGTTCCTAAGGACACTGCTGCTATTTGTTTGCCCAATCTCTTATCAAGACGAACCTTTTCTCTTTTGGGGCCAACAAGACCAGCCTTATCTAAAATAGCCAATAGGGTACTTCAACCAATCATAGGATAGAAGGTTTCAAGCATACTGCGGTAAATTTTTGGGAGTCAAGTGGAAGAGACAGACAGTAGCTAGGGGGAAATTGGGGGAAATTGAAGATCAAAAACAGCTTGTAGCTCAGCATGGCACCATTTCATGTGATTGTTAATTACCAAATAGGAAAAATATATCTGTAGCTTCTTTCAATTTTGAATTAGCTCCTATAATTTATTTTATTTTAATCGACTATTTATAATTTGATTCATCAAAATCCATGAAGGTTAAAAACCTTAAATTTTTCATTTAAAAATAAAATTAAAAACTTATATTTTTATTAAAAGATTATATAATTTATTTAAAATTAATTACACAATTTTTATAACTCAAAATTTATATAATTAAGTTGTCTTCTAAATATTTTTATACACATCAAATTTTCTATAAACTCCAAAAGAGTTTTTGTTTTGGGGAAGTTAATAATTCATTATTCATTTTAAATTTTAGGAATTAATATATTTAATAGATCAAATTATAAATTATAAAGGCTTGATTAAAATAAAATAAATTATAGAGACTTAATTCAAAATTGAGAGAAAACTATAAGGACCTCTAGATTAATTTTCCCTTAAAAATATATGCAAAAATGATAACTCTTAAAATGATTTAAAATCAGACATTTGCGTTGCACAACTTAAGAATTGAACAATTGAAACTCATCAATTCATTCGTTAAGTTTTTTGTTTCCTCTGAAAAAACAATATAACAATGACAACACAGTTTGCACATTACAGTTACAGTTTAACAGCCAGCTAACTAATCACACGAACATTTTCAAACCACAAACCACCCCCCCCAAAACCCAAAAAAAAAAAAAAAAAGCCCAACAAAACCCTGTCCTCCGATTCCCCTCTTCTCTTCCCAGACAGGAAAAAGAATTTAGAATTTTGTTACCTGAGCGGCTTCATTTGAAGCGTTTTTAGTCCAAATAGCAATTTTTTCTTGCCTACTTCTGACATTCACAACAGCACCGCAAATTTCATCTCCATGGTCAAACTGTTCTCCAATCATTGCCAGCAACTAGATGTAACAAAATACAAAATATTAGTTTTAAAGCTTGTGGATTGAGTCGCTCAATGTTAAGAATGCTAAAATAATAGAGATTCTAGAGCATACCGTATATAACCAACATGTATCAGATTTTCCCCTGGAAAAGGCAACAGTCCATTTTCCACCATTAGCACAGACAGGGTCCTCCCACTTTGGCTCAATTTTGTATTTAAAACAATGGAAATCTGCTCCCACAGCCAACTTGCTTGGATGATGAATGTTGTTATATATACTGAAGGAAGATGTGTTGAACGAAATTATCAGCCAGTCAAAGCAAAAGAATATCCATGTAACAAGAGTAATGAAGATAAGAAAAGAAGATAATAAAATTATATTTGGTTCTGCATTAGTTTTGAGGCTCGGAATCATCGCCTAAGGCTAGTAATGTCATAAGATATGAAATCATGGCCGGTCTGATGGGTCATGACCGACCATGAAAACAATTTTTACTCAATTTTTATTTATGTGCGTCATATTCTGAGCGGATAGCATGCATCATCTAAGATTCAAGATACCACACTGTCAACACAGTAAGACAAAGGGAAAGTCAGAACACATGGAAAAGAAGAACAACCATAACTTCTTCCTTTAATATACATACACTAGATAAAGAATCGTAATAAGGAGTTCAGATTGGATCCAGAGAGATTAAAACCATCGAGTAGAAAGTAAAAATATATGCAGGGGTTCAATTCTTTCTTTTCTTTTATCTCTCTCTCTCTCTCTCACACACACACTCACTCATAGATGTCGTATATCTCTCTCATTAACTTATTGCATTATATGTTATCAATTCATGATTGGAGATTATCCTAATTCTAGATGTGGTTAATAGAGGGAAAACGCTCAAATTCATACAACAAATGAGGGAATGAAGGCAGTTTAATCCAGGGAAAAATGTTTAAGAAGCAGATAGAGGCGAATAATGGAACGAAAACTGACGTAGAAACTTGAATCTAATAATTACGCTATGATCCTCATTATATCTTCCAATCAGATTTCTCAGCATCCAAACAAATAGAATCCATCAATAAAATTAAAGAATGAAAACCAGAAACCTCCAAAACTCCTCAACAGTTGCAAAGGTATAAACGGCTCGGATAGAGTTTCCCCAGGCGACTTGCTTGGACTTGGCCGAGGGGTTATCGAACCAGAAGGTCCAAGAATTCTCAAGTGGATGAGGCTTTCGGACCATCGCCGTCGGTAGCTTGGAAGACGTGGAGTCATCATCTCGAACGATCTCGCCTTGCTCCTCCAGATTCTCATTGCCGTCACCAATTGGATTGCCTGTAACGGTAGGCCTTGGGGGCTCGTCCACCACCATTTTCGCTCGATTTCTTCGTGCAAACTGAAATGTTTTCGCAGTTTCGCTCTTTCCCTCGCTTTCTCTCACAGCGACTACCTTTCGCGACTGTTATGGGCTCCTTCCTCATGGGCTTATGGATTTTTCTCTCAGTTTTTTATTTTTCAATAAGTGCGATTTAAATTTAAAATATTATATTGGATTTAATATGTTACTGGCAGAAAATTTTACTTGCGTTCCTTAATTCTAGTTGAGGTTTTATTTTCGTCTTTTGGTTTTGCTTAAATTTAAAATTTACTTTCATCTTTCTAAATTGATTCATTAGTTTTTATTTGCTTCACTTGGATCCTTATTTTATTTTATATAGATTAGAGCCATTGATTTATTAAATGATGATATGGCGATGGTTTCTCCTGCTTCTTTTATTTTGTGTGTGGCGGACATAATCAATGACATATTCTTTAATGATGTCAAAATATCAAAAAGATTTATTAGGTTGTCAGTAAAATATAGTTACTTAAATTACAATAAAAATGACAGGAATTAAATTTACTTGAACTTAATAAATCATCGATGTCAATATTAATATTAATATACTCTATTTTTTAAAAAATATAAAATATTTTTAATTAAATTTCATCCCTCGATAAATTAGTTACCTACTTTTAAGTTAACTTTATCTTTCTATATTTATCCCTATTAAATATCCTATAATAAATATAAAGTCATTTATTAATAGGGGACTTTTGAAAAAATATAATGATTACACTTTGAAAGACTAAAAATATTTTATATTGTTAAACATCAAACTCTTCAAAAAATATTTTATATTTTTGAACTAAATGAGTATTATATAAAAATAAAACAGTAAATTAATATTTTTTTACTGTTATTTATTGATGTGACATTCTGAAGAACAAATCATTTGATTATTATCCTTTGCAAGGATTATTCAGACATTGTAGCTAAATCAATTCAGGGCATGAAAATAAAGTGAGGGGTGAAGTTAACGGATTAATCGGAAACCAACTACTCTCCCCATCTTTATATATAAAATATTTTTTAAAAATTTATTTTATTCAAAAATATAAAAAGTGATAATAATATTTTTAAACAATTAAATAATTTTATCTTTGTTTTAAAAAAATAAAATAGATCATTAATTATATATTTTTCCTACCACCATTATGATATTAATTATGATATTATTAGGAGTAAAATTAAAAAATTATTATGTTTTTATGTGAGTTCAACTAAACAACAAACTTTTATTGTTATGTAGAATTCAATTAAAAATATTTTATATATAAAAATGGAGGGAGTAATTATGAAAGTGAAATTTAATAAACTATTTATAAGGGGTCGAATTAAAATTTATTTTTTATTTTTTAAAATAATTTTTTCTTCTATGGGGTGTTATTATCCCAGTACGTGGTCTGTGTCTGTATATGCATATATAAATATATATAAACACAAGTTGCTTCATTGGCTTGGTTTATTTGCTCAACTTATAAGGTATTGGGCTTTGTAATATTTGAATTATTTTATTGGTTAATTCAAAACTAAATTGACTATTATTTTCATATTTTTAGCGCATATATGCACCTTTTTTTTTTTTTTTGTCAACATGTATCTATATATCTACAGGAATGGGTTTGGTGCAATGAACCTTATAAAGTGGCTCGGAAATGGGGTGATCTTAACTGTATGTTTTATGAATGGCTGAAAAGAAAGAGGTATGTCAAAAGACTTATAACCTACAAAGTACCCCAACACTTTTTTAATAAAAATATACTTATATACCTTTTAAAATCTTCTAAAAATATTTTTATCTGTTCTCGTTAAAAAAATATTTGGGTACTTTGCAGAAGGCTAGAGGCAATGGGAAGAAAATTTTAAAAGGTATATAAAAATATTTTTTATAAATATTTGGGTGCTTGCAGATTATAAGTCTTTTGATGTGTAACTCTCTTTTCAACCATTGGATAGAATACACAGTCAAGATCACCCCACTTCCCAACTACTTTACAAAATGTACCACCAAATCCACGGGAGATGGGTCTTTCAATTTTATCCCCTCCATCATTTCCCTCCATTTCCTCAATCTTTATCATTCAAATTATTTTATTAAATAATTTTTTTAATAATAAAATTAATGAATGGTGGGGATTGAGGAAATTGAGGGGAAAAAAAAATAGAGATCTCCTGTCCCAAATCCATTCCCATATATCTACATCTATATCTATATAAAAACAAGTCCACCTACAATAATGGGATTTGAAAATTTTATGATAAAATAAAATTTAAAACTAACACTTTTTAATATAGATGCTCTATCTGATTTTATTTATAAGTCATTTCTAGCATATTTTACCAAAACTAAGGAAAACTTTAAATTTCATTAACTTTATCTTAAAATTTAACAAGTTTTTACCTTTACTCCTAATAAATATTCTTAAATCTCATTACTAATATTTTTATTCAAAGCATTTAATAAAGGCAAAAATATAAAGAGGAGCATTGAAAATTAGTAAGTGCCTTTATAAATAGGATTAATTTTTTTTTCTCTCCCTCTACCCTATAAATATGATCATAGGAGTATAATATAAGGAGCATACTTCATCAATAGTAGAAAATATATCCTCCATTTTCCCAACTATACTGCTACATACATAAGGGCAGCCTATTAAAAGCCGCATCTAAAGATCACATGCTAAGAACATGAAATGTTCTGGCAAGAAGAAAAGTCATGTCCACAAATACAGGTACAGATCCTTTAGGCTCAAAAGACGTCCTTTAAGATTCTTAAAATGAAGAACTTCAAAATTAAGATTGGATAAATGTTTCATCTGTGGACAAAAATTGCATTTTGCAAATAAGTGTCCCAACAAGTCCAAAAAGGATATGACGCTACTCCAGTCCCTTGAGACTATTGCTTCCCTCACTGATGATTGGGATGTTGAATTTGTCTTTGAAGAACAATTTGAACAAGATGAAGATACTTGATATTTTTTCCTATATAAGATGAAAGCTTAGATGATCAATAGTATTTACCTTAGTATCCACCCCTTTATACTATTGGGCCTAGCCCAATTCAAAGCCTCAGCCAATCTCTGTTAAACCTAACACCAACAGGCCTTATTAACCTTAACCAACTACCTTATCCTTTACAAATGCCACAACCTAATGTCAAAATTTAGATATTACTCTCCAAATATGATGTCCTATCTCTGTCATCGCCTCATAGACACTGGTTCTTGCAAAAGTGTCATGAAACCTCATAGTCTTTCCAAAGAAGAATGGGTCCTTCACAATGAGTATTTTATTACTGCTGATGATAAACTTTTAAAGATAGATCTTATTATTAAAAGTAAAAATGGTATAAATTTTTTTCTTGAATGCACATACTAGATAAAGATTCTTAGAAGTCATCTCCTAGCAAAATATATTCTCATTGGTTTTGATGTGTATTAAGAAACCAAGAACTTGCAAATACTCTATAAGGATATTTGGTTCAAATAGTTCTTTAAAGAATACACTGACATTCCAAGTATTATGGAGATTCAGAAAGCCCCTTTAGGATATGAAATAATTAGAGATTAACTTCTCAAATTTTGCTATGAAAGTTATGATCAATTTCAGCATCCATCTCCTTTATGGAAAAATAGATATTTTTTCATTAAACGTCCTTTTAAAAAGAATGAAGAAAATCAACCCTACAAAAGCATCCCATTATATTCAAGGATGAATCCAGATGATCTTGTTCTAGCTAGGAAAGAATGTGCAGCTCTGTTCAAACAAGGTCTCATTAAACCCACCAAGTCAGATTGGACATGTCAAGCTTTTTAAGTTGAGAAAAGATCTAAAAAACAAAGAGGATTAAAGAGGCTGGTAATTGATTATAGCCTCTTAATGCTTTTCTTCAAGATGATAAGTTTCCTCTACCTAATATTAATACTCAGTTAGTCCATCTAAAGCGGGCCAAAATATTCTCAAAGTTTGACCTCAAAGTAGGATTCTGGCAATTGAGAATATATCCTACATATAGATACAAAATGGCCCTTTGCATTCTAAATGCCTAATATCAATGGACAGTTATGCCCTTTAAGCTTAAAACTTCTCCATCTCTATTTTAAAAGGCCATGACCTGGATACTCAAGTCCATTATCAATGTTACTCTAATTTATATCGATGATGTACTATTGTTTTTAGAAATTGACCAAGAACATAAGGACCTTTTGGCCTAGTTCTACAAGATTATTCAATAGTATGGGATCATGTTATCAACTCAAAAAGGTCATATTGCTACAGCCTAGATAGAATTTTTGGGAATGATTATCCAAGAGACAATATCAGCCCAGCTCACTTATTATTGAGGAATTATTAGATTTCCCTAATGAAAATTTATCCAGAACTCAAATCCAATAGTTCTTGGGTATAGTTAATAATATCAGAGATTTTGTTCCTCAAGTGTCTTATCACACCGGCTAGCTGTCTAGATTGTTATGGAAAAATCCACCACCTTAGGGTCCAGGCTAGACAAAAGTTGTTCAGCACTTAAAGCAAATTTGTCAGCATCCTCCTCCTCTTAGGATTCCTGACAAAGGATCGCACATTCTGTAGATTGATGCAAGCGATGATTATTAAGAGTGTTATTGAAAAAGCAAATGGGAAGAGACATTATTATGGTCATGCTATAGGAGAATTCAAACCCTCTAAAAAGCACTACCACGTTGCTTATAAAGAAATCCTAGCTATAAAAGTGGCATTGAAAAGTTTAACTTTCATCTCAACCCTTACCACTTAGTCATAAAAATGGACAACATGTCATTCGTCAAGATTCTTGATCAGAACAAGAAGATTATTTTTGAAACTTAACTTCTTTAATGGAAGGACTAATTTTCCTACTATAAAGTTATAGTTTGACATATCAAGAGAAATCACAATACAATTGCATATTATCTCATCAAACCCCAGAAAAGAATTAATCTTCTAGCACCTTCACCCAAACATATGTTGGAACTTGTGCCCTATGGCCAATCATTGTATTATGAACATTATTATTTATAGAATCTATCTTTTATTATCATATTAATTGCATGTTTATTATGATAATTGTA